CGATTTGAAAAAAAAAAAAAAGGTGACCTCTGTTTAGTAGCTATGCAGTGAAATGGGTATTTACGTCAGAATTCTCAGTGCCCAATATAAACACACCTGAAAATCATAAAGGGCATAAAATATTAACAAACACGCACACTATGTACAGTATATTTAATAAATGAAGATTACCAACAAAGTATATTTTCCAAGCATTTGTCCTTCAGTGTATGGGATCCTAAATAAACTTTACAACTGTTCAGAGCACAATGTCAGCTCAAGGACACTGATTCAGAAACTGAGCAAACACACTGTCTTTGCTCAGCAATCTAACGCAGGTGTACATGCAATCACAAATTAAGGCCAATATTCTATCATTCAGCCAAGAACTAAAAGTCAAAAAAGATGGGGAGCTAAGAAATTATGCTTAAAATAAATATCCAGTATGGTTTCAGTGCCATGAGAGCAATCAGTTTGTTGGAAATTGATTTTTTTTTTTTTTATCAAGAAATGGGAGGAAATAGACAGGTTAAAAAGAGGTAGAAAAGGTGAGCTATTTGTCCAGATCTTGTCTATGAATTCTCCACTATGAACATTTTCTATAATGTATTTAACTTTAACTTTGTCAAATAGCTCCTCTGACTCTTTTTTCTCCATTTTCTTATGTTATAATCCATTTGCTTGTCCAAGCCTGAGGTGGAGCTCTCTGTCTGAAGTGCACTGAATGTTGCTCTCCATCTTTCTGTTTTTCTCCCTCTAAGCATCCAGCAGGCCAAACAGCCAAATAAGAGAGGTTTCGGCAGCATAGGACTCCATATAACACTGCCAATCCCCCCATCCCACCCCCCCAACACACACAAACACTTATGCTTTCATAGAGACCAAACCCATAAACCTGCTCATGCACCAAGGCTTTTGTTTTACTACCATTGGTCCAATTATTTGATAGGAATCAAGTCATTATTTCCATTTATGTGCACATCTAGAGTGCACACCATCATCTGTGGAGGAATAAAGCATGCTGTTATTTACCACAGTTTGCCCCTGTTATCACTGTAATGAGCACTTTATATAACATGTCAAAATCTAGACTTAATATGTGAAAATACTAATAAAGCAAGACATAAATTCCACAAGTAGTCCACCGGAAATTTACCAGAGAAAGGTATCCAAAATTCTATACAACAATTTATTAAGTAAACGCTGTCATTAGAATGTGTGACTGAAGCAATAATTCATCATGATATCTGTGACAGTTATTAATTAGCTGTTAATTACTCGGTTGTTAATTAATTAAGGGTGTGTATATCCACATGCAAAAGTTTGCATAGCCTTAGTACAAAATTAGGAGAAAAAACTAAGAAAGACCTTTAGAATATTCGGTTTCACAGATGTTCACAGATGTTTATCACAATACCATACGGTTGGTAGAACCATGTATGTTAAAGTAATTTGAGAGCAACATTAAATACACAAATATGTCACCATTAAATGATTAATAGTATTGACAGCAAGTCAATCTGAGATATTATGAACTGCAAAAATGCTTGTTTTCAATTACATTTGACAGAAAAATGGATGCATTTTCTGTCCCTGATTTTTTTTTTCTGGATTAATGGCAAAAGGGTGGTGGTCTAGACACTGATGCATCTACTCAAGAAAAATTTGGCTAATGCAAAGGTGTGAACTACATGGATGTGATTTGCATAATCTGAATGGGGAACACAGAAAAACAATTTAAGCATGTGCGTAACCCGACTCTGAATACAAGCAACTTTCCCCATGTAAATATTAACATCAAATATGTAAACACTTAGGACAAAATAAAAAAACAAAGAAATTTTATGTACAGTATGACAACAAAACCTTTAGGGTATTAGGTTTCACAGATATTGCTTTATTATCACAATTAACACAATTGGTCAAATCCCAAAAGACAGAGTGGGGGAAAAAACAAAATAATATTAGTTTTAAAAAATTAATAAACAAATTTCCCTTTCTGAATGTGATACAAATATTCTCTGATAATTTTTTTTTTTGCCTTCATACCTGAAGCCCCCCCCCCCCCCCCACCTCTTTCATATCCTCTTTGTAACTGAGGTGTTTTCCCTTTTTTATCTTGCAAACATTTGCTCTCAACTCTGGCTTTCACTGCAGATTTCCTACAAACCTCTGTTCACATGTGTATATACCCATTAATCATAACTGTCAACTCCTCTGATTCATCATTGTCATAAAGACAATACCATAGACAATTAAGGTGCCAAATATCAAATGTGTTTTCTTTCACACTTTCAAAAGGCAAGCTAGACTAGCTACATAATTCATTAGAATGGCTGCCTGTAGGGCAACATCACTCATGCAGAAAGTATATCAGAACCAGATCTGATAAGAGACATGACAAATAATTCAAACAGCAGATAGTTCAAGTTCTTTAAGCAAGCTATCATGATAAGCGATCATCACTGGCTTCTTTTCCATAAAGGGAGTTTTTTATTTGTCTGTTGTGCTGGATACCACAGTCTTCCAGAAAGCAAGGCTGAGGAAAGAAGACATGCAAGGTATCCGAAGTCCTTCTCTTTCCGTCTGATCTGCCAGCATGACGCCAATCAACACTACACTCTGAACCCGCTGAGCGGTGGAAGATTTAAAGAGAGAGGGAATTGGAGAAAATAGAAAAAGCGATCTTTTGAGTCTGAGCTCTCTTGCTCTCGCTCCCTCCAGTGGAGTCCGTCTCTCACCCTGTCAAAAGGACAGCATGTTGCTCTTGCAGTGAGAAAGCATATGTGGTCATCATATGCAGCAGTGTGGTCTCCTCTGTGTGGCTCCAAACTGTAGAGAATGCCTTTGATATATAGAAGTAGGCATGGCCATAACTAGAAATGAGGACACCAAGGTCACCGGACCTCAGTAGTTTCGGAAGGTTTTTTCTCCAGCTGTTAAATTCAATATGGAAAAAGTGACATCCTGATAATGTGCTGGCTGAATGTAGCTTACTATATGGAAAACCTGCATTTCAATACTACCCAGTCAGTAGTGATGACGGAACTGACCTTAGAGCAATGAGTTGCATACAGTAATTAATAATAAACTGTGCATGTACATTTTTAGTGTCTACAATTTAACTAAACAAAAGGTAACAAGAGGTAGCTTTTTTCTTCCAATGGTCTGGTGGTCTGACTGCATACTGGCACACTCAATTTTCTACTACAGTATGCTACATTACCAGACTTCTGACAGTTATGCAACACACATACACCTGTACACCTTCTCATTCATGCAATTATGCAATGAGCTAATTATATGGCAGCAGCACAATGCAAAAAATCATGTAGATACTGCTTTAGTTAATATTCACAACAAATATCAGATTTGGGGGGAAATATGATGTTAATGACTTTGCTGTGGGATAGATGTTGCTGCCAGACAGGCTGGTTTGAGTATTTCAGAAACTTTTGGTATCCTGGGATTTTCACTTATGATAGTCTCAGTTTACACAGAATGGTGGGGGGGAAAAACATCCAGTGAACAGCAATGTCAGATGAGAATGGCCAGACTTGTTTGAGCCAAAAGGAAGGCTATGGTAACTCAAATAACTGCTCTTTACAACCGTGGTGAGCAGAAAAGCATCTCAGATTGCACAACATTTTGAACCATGAGTCAGATGGGCTACAACAGTCTCTCCACTGGTGTCCCACAAGGCTCAGTACTTGGTTCTCTTCTGTTCTCCTCAGACACTCATGTTTCTGCTCAGATCTCAGCATGTCTGGCAGACATCTCATTATGGATGGCAGCTCATCAGCTGAAACTTAATCCCAGCAAAACTGAACTACTGTTCATCCCAGGTGATTCATCCCCACGTCAGGGTCTTGTGATCTCCCTGGACAACACTCAGATCTCACCTACCACAACCTTGGGGTAACCATGGACAGGCATCTGTCCTTTTCCTCTCACACTGCTAATCTGACAATCTCATGGCAGTTTTTTCTTTACAACATCAGAAAGATTTGTTCATTTCTATCCACACAAGCCACACAGGTGCTTGTTCAGTCCTTTGTCATTTTGAGACTGGACTACTGCAACTCACTCCTGGCAGTCTGCCTCAGCGTGTCATTTGACCTCTGCAACTGATCCAGAATGCAGCTGCATGACTTGTTTTCCACCTTCCTAAGTTCTCCCACACCACCCCATTTCTATGCCCCTTACACTGGCTTCCTGTAGCTGCCCGTATCAGATTTAAAACAATGATCTTTTCCTACAACACCAAAAATGGATCAGCACCCACCTACCTTAAAGCACTTATCACACTCCGCACTGCACCACACTCCCTCCAATCCTCTAGCACTATGCAACTGGTCCCATCATCTCTCAGGGTACAAGCAAGGTATGCATCAAGGCTCTTCTCTTGTTCTGGCACCTAGGCGGTGGAATGAACTTCCCCTAGATGTCCAAACAGCTACTGGCAGCCTTTAAACAATGATTAAAGACCTACCTCTTCATGGAGTTCCCAAAATTAACATTTTATTTTTAAAAAAATTCTTCGGTTGTCTTTGTGTTTTTCTTATTATATTACCTCCCCAACAGATTTTTGGATTGATAATACTCTTAGTCCATGACCTAGTGAACCAATATCTGGATGTATTTATTGTTAGAGACTTCTGTAAGTCGGTCTGGATGAGGGCGTCTGCCAAATGCCATAAATGTAAATGTATGACAGCAGAAAACTACATCAGGTTCCTGTCCTGTCAGCGAAGATCAGAAATCTGATGCTACATTGGGCACAGCCTCATCGAAACTGAGCAGGTGAAGTGATGTTTTTCCAATCTGCAGCTGTCCAATTGGTCCTGTAAAAAATGTAATTTTTACTTCTAACACACCACAGCAGATCATTGGTCCACATATTTGATCTGGCACAGTTTTACACTGGATGCTCTTCCTGACACAACCATCCCAATTTTATTCAGGCTTGGGACTGGCACTGGGAGCGCACAGTCTTTTGCAACCCCAGTGGCTGGGGTTGGTTCCCTTTCTGGGAATTGAACCTGGTCCGTGGCAGTGATAGTGCCGCGACCTAACCACTAGGCCTCAAGGGACCCCTTTAGTTGACTATAAATAAACACTTAATTTTACTATGAGCATGATAAAGTTAATTATTAAATATTTTTATTGATTGTATAATGTATAATGTAATATCATTCATAATTCAACAGGTAATTTACACTGCCTCGCAAACCAAAAATTCTGGACTGAATAAAATGAAACTGTCTCACTGGCATAAGAGCAGTTTATGGAAGATTGTAATGATAACAGAGTTTTAAAAATTTGCAATTGATGAAGTATGCATTCTGCATTGTGTATATTAAGTATGCCATATTTCTGCAATGTGGTCCTCACTAAAATTTTAATCCTGGTTACAGCCCTGGTGAGTCTGAAAAGAAAGTACAGTCATTTTTATCTTTCTGCTCATGGTCTAGAAATGAGCCAAGCACTCTCACACTCAAGTTGAGAGTGCATTAGTATGGCTTGAGAAATGGAGCGTCCTTACAAATGGGGAATGAGGGTCCAATTGCAGCTCTTAGATCATTTTCGGTCCATCTAACTCAGCCATGTTGGTTGTTGCATGTCTTCTTTCCTGCGGTTGTCCTTAATCTGGTGCAGCCAGATTAAGGACAACTGCAGTACTCTTTTAAATTATATGGCTCAGTATAATTTGACCTTAAAATGTGCAAAAACATGGAAAGTATTGAAAGGTCATTTCAAAAGGCAAGCCAAATACAGTTAGTCATTTGTAGGATTCTGTCCATATTTTTGCATGAGAGAGTTGAAAATAAGTTCCACATTTGCTCAACCATTTCCCATCTTTCTCAGCATTCATACATGGCAGACAGTTCTCCTTGAGACAGCTCGCTCAGTGAAGACAGAAAGATGTGATCTTTTGGCCACAGTCTGGACACGTACAATGCACTGCCAAACCTTTGTGTCTTTTGTTTGCTTTCAACAAATTAAAAAAAGACACACTTTATGTGCTAAAAGAAACAGAAACAGCTCCCTCTTTCCTTCAAGGACTTTATGTTTTTTATTAGTCAGAACTCAGGCTACAGCAAGAGGCAGTTTTGAAAGGAAGGTTGAGAAAGCGTCTGAAATCAGACAAGAAGAGGAAGGAACCTTGGAGAATAAAAATGAAGTGTGGTCCTGGGGGTGTTGGGGGACTTTCCTACCAGAGAAGAAAATGGAGAAGTTAATGGTGAGGAAAAATGGTAGAACTTCCTTTGACTGCGTGTGTTCACAGTTTGAAAAATTCACAATTCACAAGGATAGCTTTCATCAATTTTGATGGTTGATGTTAACATACCACCAAAGTCAAGTGACACAAATTTTTGTTGACTGTAATCTTACCTTTGCTTCAGTGCATAATCTCACCTGGATACTGTAGCTTTGTAACTAAGAACTGCTGCTGTAATCATAAAGACTGTCCTGTGCTCATCTCAGGACCCTTATTCACAATATGATCATACTGAACATCATTTCAACACACATAGTACTGTTTGTCTTTACTCTTTAACACCTGTATATTGTAATGATTATAGTCCCAGAAGAGGATGGGTTCTCTTTGTGTCTGGTTCCTCTCAAGGTTTCTTCCTCATGTAGCTGTGGTTAAGACGTTGGACTTCTGATCAGAAGGTTGAGAGTTCAAAGCCCAGCACCACCAAGCTGCCACTGCTGGGCCCTTGAGCAAGGCCCTTAACCCTCAGCTGCTCAGTTGTATAAATGAGATAATTGTAAGTTGCTCTGGATAAGGGCATCTGCCAAATGCCGTAAATGTCATCTCAGGGAGATTTTCTTCAACACTGTCATCTCTAGCTTGCTCATTAGGGATCTAAATCTATATCCTGATTTGTGTAAAGCTGCCTTGTGCTAAGGTCTACTGCTAAAAGCTCTACACAAAATTTTTTTTTATTGAATTAAAATTTCATGACAACCGTCCTTTTAGCTCAGTGCTGTGCAGTGATGGCCGGTGGTGATATTAGATGTGAGGTTAAAATATAATCTTTCTCAGTAACTTGACTATTACCATAGGCTAAATGAATGTACTATTTGGGCTAGAAAGAAATCATCCCCAGCCTCGCATCTACACCATTCTGAGCATTTTTCTTACAACCATTGGTGGAGCTGTTGCTCTTGGTTCAGCAAAAGTCCAAAATAATCTGATTTGTTAACAGCGAATAAGGGTTTTCTTTTATCCTTGAAGAACATAAGAGCTTAGCCCTCCTAGTCGATATATACCAGCCACTCTTGATCACATCCCTAGTATCTGGGTATGCTGGTTCAGCGCATGAATAAAGGATTTATTTACTCTGTATGACCTGGGTAATGTGACGTCATAATTGGAAATTTGAAGAATTCCTAACTCTTATAAAAAAGCTACAAATTGTTAATGTTAGGTCAGAGTTGGCAGTCATGGTTTTTCCTGCATGAAATTGCTCTTGCTTGTTAGAAATCTTTTGCATCATATCATTTTGGCATGGGTGAAGGCAGTGAGCAGAGAGCAGCTGGCCATTTCACAGCTCCCGCTTTTATAAAACAATGCTGAAGTAATTATGTCTAATTGCCTCCTAATCACTCCCCATCCGTCTCATATCTTTAATCAGCTCTTACCACCTTCCATTCCAGACCCTACTTTGCTGATAAATGTATGTGCAGCTCTCTCCACAGCACACACAGCACACATTGCTGCTACAATCCTCTAATCTCTACCAGGGACGATGGCAGCATATGTGTGCGTTAAAAGCAATTTATGTTCTCAGGGTTCTTAATGCTTTCTGTTATAACTACAGCAGGGTGCCAAAGTCTATTAGAGAGTGCTGTTTTTATTTTGTCAATTATTAAAAACCTAAAGCACATTTGACAACGGATAATGAAAAAAGATTATATCGTTCTTCACCAAGACAAAAAAAATGTCATAAATGATGTGTGAACAGGATATTCAAATTATCTTTCAATTTCATAAGAGGATTTCACAAATAGCTAAAAGAATGGATTTGTCTCAGTTTTGGATAATATATTCTATCAATAAATTAATTTTTTTTATTCATTACTGAGAAAACCCTTTTCTTTTGTATATGGTTTCTTTTGACTCCTTTTGAGACATGTTGCAGTTATTATAAGTTATTATAAAACTATATAATGGCTTGCAGGGGTACAAGAAGCATAGCTATCAATCAAGGTAAATATAGGTTTACCTATTTGGCTAAGAAATAAGCAACCCCCTTGTCTGGCTAAAACATTAACACAGCCACTTTAGAAGCACACAGAGATTATTTTGCATATGTTCACATAATGTTACTCTATATGACACATACGAAACACGTTAAACAAATAATACAAACCATGCAGCCAAATTCCCACCACACTCCTCTTCTTCCATGGCAGAGCACGCATGTGACGTCATTAGAGGCAGAGAGTGCAAGTCTGCAGCTACACCCTTCTCAATGCTTTTGCGGAGTGTCAACAAACTTAAGGGACTTAAGTTCAAAGTAATGTCAGTATTAATAGGTGGAAAGTTCCTCATATTCAGAGTCAGGTTATGCAGGTGCTTCAGTTTATTTTCTGAGCAGTCCATTCAGATTATTAAAATTGCTTTCATGTAGTTCACACCACCACGTGACAGATTGAAGGATATGCATCTGCTATGCTTACAGCTACCTTTAAATTAATTCATAATTTTATCCCTAAAAAAATTCAGTCCTTGAGATAAGCAATGACTCTGATTAAGATGCTGTCTCTTCCTCTATATGGAAAAAAAACCTTTTTGTGCACACACACAACTCCTGTGCAACTGTTTGAATAGAGCTTAAGTTTATAGTTATGTCAGAGTCCTAAATGTAGATAAAATCAGTCTTAACTCCTCACAATGCACACATAATTCAACTCTGAATACGGCCCTATCTGGTGAGAGAGAAAGTGATTCTTCCTCAAGATGGCTGCTAGTACTGTGTTTTACTGTTCTTACTAATAATTCAGTGTCACAATCCGTATAAACAAATTTGTTTGTGATTACTTAATAACTTGAGATGTGTGGCTGAAGATCTTAAGCATTTGCATAATGCTTCCCTTACCTGTTAGCTACAGGAACCTAAAACAAAATATTATATAAAATTTGATTTTTCCTCAAACTATTACTTTAAATTGACCTTTGTTTATTACATCTGGTCTAAATAAAGAAAATGTATGTGCTAAACTGCTCACAGACTCACTGAAAGCAGATTAATCCGGGTGAGACAAATCTGCAAGGCACAAAAGCAGGCCAAAAAGCTTATACCCAATGCAGATTTAATAAACAAAAGTCTTCTTAACACTGGAAAATGTCACATCAGCTGAAGAGACAAAGCCAAAGATTTACTCAACCAAGCACAGCATGTGTTCCAGTTCACTGCAATTAAAAGAATAGGAGTAAATTACCCTTTGTCTTCCTCCTGGATTTCTTTCTGGATTTCTACGTGGCAAAATCTGACTATCTCACATACCAGTGCTCTCAATAAATCCGCTCTTATTGCCATCAAGAAGCGTGAGCTACAGATGATTCTGTAGCATGAAACAATTTTCGCTTGCTGTCAGCAAACTGATGCATTATTGTCGTGTTAATACTCAAATGACTGTAAGTAAGCTGCTGCACTTGATGATGTAATGTGGACACATCAGCACTTTTGGTTGGAGATATAATGCAATATAATAATTGGTGCTATAGTGTTGAGCCATTTTTACTTTTCTTCCTTTCCATTCTTAAAGCTCTTGACAAACAGCTAACAAGAGATTGCAATATTACATCAGTACTGTATATTTGAAGGATCAGATCAAAATTTTGAGATATTGTCTCATGGACACATAGTCCTTAACCAAAGAAGCTGCATGCTGCTGCTTGTGGTTGAGCCTTGTGCTTTGGTGTCTTTTTGGTGGTATTTGGTGGTAAGGGGAGATCCACATCATTGCAACTTTTACTCAAAGAAATCTAGGGTAACTCCACATATCTACAGTTAATTCTGGTAGCACTTTATTTTATAGCACTTTATATTTAGACACTCTACAAACCAACTAT